GGAGCCATGGGCAAGAGCAGTGCTGTGAGGGGCAGATGGGCTGCGGGAATGTCGAGGAGAACACACCAGACCTCTGTCTCTGATCAGGACTTGTTCTGTGGTCTCAGAAAAGGGGCTCATCTTGTGTGAACCTTACTTTCCCTCCAGTCTCAGCTGGGAGCTTAGCTCTCTAAGGCCTTTGCTGTATGTCTGGTCACATGTCCCTCCCAGAACACAGTGTCCCCAAACCTCTCTGTCCACACTCAGGACATGGTAGCCGAGCGTGGGGCAGGGAGCCCATGTGTCTGCCCAGGAGACAGTAAGGCATTTTCAGGCCCTGAAAACATGCAGGGTTTGGTGGCCAGGTTTCCATTTCTTGAGAAGGGGAAAGGCTATAGCCACTGGAGCACCCCAAGGGCCCAGCATCACCCCCCCGCCGCCCGAGTGCTGCCCGCACTTGGGAAAGCCTCCCCCCAGCAGAGGGTCGCAGGCAGGGAGCTGGGCTGACGCTGCGCCCCCTGCAGGCCTAGGGAGGAGCGCGGCCTGGCCAGCGCAGGGTTTGCGGTTTGCTGTTGGAAGGCCGCTGGCTTTTCTGCCAGTGAAGAGCCTGGGTCCTTCACAGGCCTGTGTCCTTGCGCTTTGCTCTCCGGTGAAGCTGGCAGTCATGTGTTCACCAGCGGGACTACAAACTCAGGCCGCAAGTAGGTGCTAGGTGCCAGGCGTGATTGGAAGAGTGGGAGGCGCGCTGTCTGTGAAGGGCTGGTTCAGGGCGGCTGTGGCTGCCTTACTGTCTGCTGCCACCAGGTGGGGCTGTCTCACACCGCATCATGGCTCCTGGGAAAGGTGTAGCAGGCATGACGGGCCCACAGGGAGAACAACGGGCCACTTGGTGTTAGTGAGGAACGTTGTGTCGTTGAGACGACTCAGGGACTTCCGGCCTAGGGTCACAGTGACCTGGAGCCAGACAGGCCTCTCTTCCTATACTGTGTGTGTGTGAGGATGTGGCTTGTAGCTTTTCCCTCAGGAGGCTGCTGCACAGCCCTGCTGAGTCAGCAATGTCCCGTGGGCAGACCCATGGCCACTAAGTTTCCATTTTCGATATTAGTATAAGGCCTAACAGCCTGGGGCCTGGTACAGTGTGGTGGGCTGCAGACCAAGAGCCCTTCTGCTGGACCTCCGTGCAGTTCAGTGACTGGCGGAGAGCGGGCCGGCAGTGACCCTGACACCTGCCATGCTGTGCACCCGCAGC